ACAAACACACACACAGACACACACATACACATACACACACACACACACACACCTGCCAGAGTTAATGAAGACCTGACCGGAAACAACGACCCGTTTGCTTCATGAGTGAACGGCGCCGAGAGCTGAGGCAGACTGCATGCACGCCCCTTGGATTCAGTTATGGGGATACTTGAATGGCAGCTACACCCCCTCAGACTTTCATGGAAGCTGCCTAAGGCACTGAACTGGAAGCAAGTGTTCCAAAGGGGTTGTGAAAGCTTCCATGTTAGCCTGGAGGAGGGTATGTGACGCTCTGACTGCAATCTCTCCGTGCAGATTTCGGCGCCGGCCAGGCTATTCGCCGATCATTTGCAAAGCAACACTGTGCCTCGGTGTTGGTGGAGCTGCTGGTGATTGGCAGCGTTGGTTTGCCAGCCTTCGCCGGTCTTGCAATGGTTGGCCATTTTTAGCCCCCTGAGTCTTGCACAATTTTGCAAAGATCCACAGATGGGCATTGTGATGCTTAATTGGAAATCCTTGGTGGCATTGGTAGTGCTCACCATTCATTGCGAGTGGCGCTCGTTCTCTTTGTTTGCCGCGTTGTTTCTGCCTTACAACAGCAAGCCCGAAGCCTCCCAAACCGTGCAGGAATGTGTCACTGCTCCTCTCTCAATGGTTGGTCTCATTTGAGTCACTTGCCGCTGTCGACCTCCGACAAAACAGTGCGGCGGTCCCGTGGCTGCGCCGGCAGATGCTCCTGAGACGACCTTGGTGTGAACATACACGACCCCCCCCCTCGCCCCTAAGCGCAAATGCTGCAAATGCCTCACGTGTTCCGCTTTGGGTCAACGTTCGCAAGATCCTTTCCTCCCAACTTCTAGAGGCAACTCACAAACTCAGTCAAACTTGTCTCTGAAAAGCTTGTCCTTGACCAGCGGCAAGTTTCCCTTTATCGTTTCGATGGTGAAGCAGTTTTCAACCCCCGTCATGGCGCGCGCGAGCGCACGAGGAATATTGATCCACGTCACGAGTGTGTGTGTGTGTGTCTGTGAGTCTGTGAGTTTGTGTGTCTGTGTGTCTGTGAGTCTGTGTGTCTGTGTGTCTGTGTGTCTGTGTGTCTGAGTCTGTGTGTGTCTGTGTCTGTGTGTGTCTGTCTGTATGGCACCGTATGGGTGGCTGTCTGTATGTGTCTGTCTGTCTGTCTGTCTGTCTGTTTGTGTGTGTGTGTGTGTGTGTGCGTGTGTGTGTGTGTGTGTGTGTCTGTGTCTGTGTCTGTGTCTGTGTCTGTGTCTGTGTCTGTGTCTGTGTCTGTGTCTGTGTGTGTGTCTGTGTGTCTGTGTGTGTGTCTGTGTGTCTGTGTGTGTCGGTGTGTCTGTGTGTGTGTCTGTGTGTGTGTGCGTCTGTGCGTCTGTGCGTCTGTGTGTCTGTGTGTCTGTGTGTCTGTGTGTCTGTGTGTCTGTGTGTCTGTGTGTCTGTGTGTCTCTGTGTGTGTCTGTGTCTGTGTGTCTGTGTGTCTGTGTGTCTGTGTGTCTGTGTGTCTGTGTGTCTGTGTGTGTCTGTGTGTGTCTGTGTGTGTCTGTGTCTGTGTGTGCCTGCCTGTTTGTATGGCACTGTATGGGTGGCTGTCTGTATGTGTCTGTGTGTCTGTGTGTCTGTGTGTCTGTGTGTCTGTGCTTGTGTGTCTGTGTGTGTGTGTCTGTGTGTCTCTCTTTGTGTCTCTGTGTGTCTCTGTGTGTGTCTCTGTCTGTGGTTCTCTGTGTGTGTCTCTGTGTGTGTTTCTCTGTCTGTGTCTCTGTGTGTGTTTCTCTGTGTGTCTTTCTGTGTGTGTCTCTCTGTGTGTCTCTGTGTGTGTCTCTGTGTGTGTCTCTGTGTGTGTGTGTTTCTGTGGTTGTGTCTGTGTGTGTGTGTGTCTCTGTCTGTGTCTCTGTGTGTCTCTCTGTGTGTCTCTTTGTGTGTCTCTGTGTGTCTCTCTGTGTGTCTTTCTGTGTGTGTGTGTCTCTCTGTGTGTGTGTCTCTCTGTGTGTCTCTGTGTGTGTCTCTGTGTGTGCGTCTCTGTGTGTGTGTCTCTCTGTGTGTGTGTCTGTGTGCGTGTCTCTCTGTGTGTGTCTCTCTGTGTGAGTGTCTCTCTGTGTGTGTCTCTGTGTGTGTGTCTCTCTGTGTGTGTCTCTGTGTGTGTCTCTGTGTGTGTCTCTGTGTCTCTCTATGTGTCTCTCTGTGTCTCTCTCTGTGTCTCTCTCTGTGTCTGTCTCCGTGCCTGTCTCTGTGTCTGTCTCTGTGTCTCTCTTTGTGTCTTTCTGTGTGTCTGTCTCTGTGTGTCTGTGTGTCTCTCTGTCGCTCTGCGTGTCTGTGTGTCTCTGTGTCTCTCTGTGTATCTATGTGTCTGTGTGTCTGTGTGTGTCTGTGTGTCTGTGTGTCTGTGTCTCTGTGTGTCTGTGTCTCTGTGTGTCTGTGTGTCTGTGTGTCTGTGTGTCTGTGTGTCTGTGTGTCTGTGCGTTTGTGCGTTTGTGCGTCTGTGCGTTTGTGCGTCTGTGCGTCTGTGCGTCTGTGCGTCTGTGCGTCTGTGCGTCTGTGCGTCTGTGCGTCTGTGCGTCTGTGCGTCTGTGCGTCTGTGCGTCTGTGCGTCTGTGCGTCTGTGCGTCTGTGCGTCCGTGCGTCTGTGCGTCTGTGCGTCTGTGCGTCTGTGCGTTTGTGCGTCTGTGCGTCTGTGCGTCTGTGCGTGTGCGTCTGTGCGTCTGTGCGTCTGTGCGTCTGCGCGTCTGCGCGTCTACGCGTGCCTGCGTGCGTGCGTGCGTGCGTGCGTGCGTGCGTGCGTGCGTGCGTGCGTGCGTGGGTGGGTGGGTGGGTGGGTGGGTGGGTGGGTGGGTGGGTGGGCGCGTGGGCGCGTGGGCGCGTGGGCGCGCGCGCGCGGGTGTGTGTGTGTGTGTGTGTGTGTGTTTGTGCTTGTGTTTGCGATTGCCTGTTTGTGTTTTGGAGGGTGCCCTTGTCACCGAACCAATATCACGTGCGCCCTTTTTCTGTTAGCGTTGGTGGGAAGCCTGAGGTACATGCGTGGCTTCTACCTGAAGGCAGCCCAGCTTGTCTCCACCCGGGATGACTTCCTGCCCCGGCGCCAAGGGGGGCGATAAGTGAGGGGGGCAGTGTGGTTGCGCATTTTGGACCTGTTTTCATTTTCCATGTTAAGGTGCAACAAATAGACTAGAACCGCACATCTGAGTTTTGGTTCAGGATATTTGTGAGGTTGGTATTAGGTATGGTCAAAGCAGTGTAGAGGTTATCTCCAAACGAAAGATGTTTTTTAGGTTCCCCCCTTTTAAGCATGGGGCTCCAAAAACAAACCCTTTCACAGGCTTCCCCGTCGCTCCTTTGCCACAGACAGACACACAGACACACACACACACAAGCGCAGAGACACACACACACACAGAGACACACAGACTGCTCCGCCCCGACCCCCCCACCCCCCAACTTTAATGTCCAACTCGAGGCCGGAGATTTATCTGGAGTGGTGCCGCAAGTTGCAGGACGAGGCGCCAACATGGGTCGGGGTTGGATGGGGCGGCCTTTTGCAAGTGAGGGTCAGTCGGTTCTCAGTCGGTTTTCAGTCGATTTTCACCCGACAGGCGAGGCCAGATCAAGTGATTTGCTTTGGCCCTGCTGTTTTCGCACGTGTGCGCCATGCCCGCGGAAGAGGTCATCCAGAGCTTCAAGAAGTTCGACCAGGATGGCAACGGCCTCATCAGCCGCGACGAGATGACGTATGTCTTGAAGGCCCTGAAGTCGGACAAGTTTGACGAAGCGTCAGTGGACCAATTGATGGCCAAGGCGGACACGAATGGCGATGGGAAGTTGCAGATTGAGGAGTTCGTGAAGTGGCTCTTCGAGGCCGTGAAGGAGACGACCATGGCCAATAATCCGGAGCTGATGATGATGTCGGAGAGCGCCAAGCGCAAGATGGCGACCGAGATCTTCGAGCACTTCGACAAGGACAAGGACGGCTTCTGGAACTTTCTGGAGGCGAGTGAGTGCTCGAGGATCACCAGCGATGGCGGCGTCACGGAGGAGGTCTTCGGCAACCTGGTGAAGTCCCTGCAGCCCGGGGAGGACTCAAGCAAGGGGCTTTCGAAGGAGAGCATCGTGCAGATGTACCTCAACCCCATGTGGGGCCAAGACGTGCTGAAGGACCACAAGTACCTGGGATCGGGTGACAAGTAGGCCATGCGACTCGCCAAGCGAGACCAGGCAGTTCCAGCAGTTGCCAGACCAGTAGCCCATGTGATGCCCGCATGGGACGGGCCATGATGGATTGCCCGTGGCTTTCGAGACTGCCTGTACACTGACTTTCTCACCTTTAGCCTTCCTTGCCGTGTCAGAGGCGGAGTAGCACGTCTCAACACAAGGGGGGTGGGTCACGATATCAGGTGTTTTTGGATGACTCCAACGTGAGATCAGGGTAACACCCTTGAACTTCATGGGGACCTTACTCAAGGAAATCCATGGCGGACTGGCATTTGGGGTAAAACCGTTTTTCCGGTCATTTGCTTTTGACCTGGAGTCGGACTTGCTCCTGTTTTTTGCGCACTGCGCAGGTCCCGATGTCCATCACGTCGGAGGAGGCCAAGCGGGTGGTCGCGCAGGCGCCTCTCGCAGTGAGGCGCTCGAGGAACCCGCGGAAAGCCAACGGAAGCCCAACCAAAGAGGCCACCGAAAGGCGACCCAACTGAAAGGAACCCCAAAAGAATCCACCTGGGGCCTGGGGGTGTCAAATTTCCCCCATTGGTCAGGAGCTGAAGATCGATCGCGTGGATCAGCTTCTCACAGATTGGGAGGACGAGCCCATTGGCACTGCCTCCATTGGCCAGGTGTACAAGGCAGTTGGGTCTTTCTTCACAGGCTAGTCTAGGGAAACCAACAGGACACCGATTGGGTTTCTCAAGGGAATCGGTCCCCCGGTCCGACCAAATCCATCAGAACCCTCATGCAGGGTTATTGGTTTGTCACGTAAGGCGGGGACGAAAAGTCCAGAGGGCGAATCTGTGCGTTTCCAAGTCGGGTGCAAACACAGGCCGCTTGGTTTCTCTAAATAGTTGGTGGGGCCAAAAATAACTGGCTGGTTTCCCAGCTGCTTCCCTCCAAAAGGTGGTCACCTCAAAACCCGCACAAGCCTAAACCCTACTGTTTTACCGATTGAAGTTGTGATTGTATGTTGGAACAGTCTTCTGGCTTGAAGTAGGGATACGGATGGACGTTTTCGCCATCGGTTACATGTCTCCCAAGAGCGAGCAGCCACAGAGCTCAAATCCGAGCCAAACGCTCATCAGTTGAGGGGCCAATGCCTCCGCTGCCGTGTGCTCCGGGAAGACATGCCCCAGTTGGCTGCACACCACGTCTTCCTTAGTGGAGTTTCTCTAGATTCGGGCCATTCAGGAACCACTTGCTCAGGATGCATCACAGCCCGTGTATTTGGCATCCCGGCAAATGTGGCTATCCAATGATGTACTAGTCATTCATTTCGTAGCTAGGGCTAGGCCATGGGTGCCTAGGAAGTTCCCTTTGTTGTTTGGGAGAAGGGATGGCACATTTAGCATAGTTGTCCCAGGCTTTTCTTTTTTTGTTCTTCTCTTTCTTCTTATGGGTGGGGGATGAAAAACGCACTCAGACCCCCGCAGGCGCGCCTGAAGTCGTCGAACCAGGAGGTGGCCATCAAGGTGCAGGTGCCGAACGCCGAGCGCATGTTTCGCATCTCGGCCTCGGCCGGGGCCGGGCTTTCGGAAGCGGGGCGGATCAAAGCATCGGTTTATGGGGGGGGGAGGGTTCGTGTTACCTGGGTTGCCTTTCTCATGCCGATTTTATCTACATGTCTTTTCCCCATGGTCATGGTTTAAATTGCTACATCTCTTGTTGCGTGTGTATTTGTACATCGGAGGGTGAGGGTGTTGGGACCCTGAAGTTCAAGTCCAACTGGTTCAACACATACAGAGTTGTGACTGGGTAACAGGCAAGCGAAGGCCCCCTATGGATTTCCCTACCTATGCCAAAGCGAAAGAGGAGACAAACCAGAGGATCCACAGTATGGTTTGCGGATCTCTACCTCTTTGGGGACGAAAAGAACAAAGGAGCACCAAGTGCGGGAGCAATTCAGAAGTTCTCTTTTGCGCGAGAAAAGAACGATTTTCTGCAGCATGAAATCTAGCCGCCTTTAAACCCCTTCCCCCTGCCCAGAGTTGTTGGCACAATGGATGTGTCTGTCGCGTCCAAACGCCGCTCACGTGTCTCGCTGCTTTGAATTTTGACTCTTCAACCCTTCTTGCGACAATGCGGGGGTGGCCTGTGTGTGTGTGTGTGTTTTTGTCTTACGGGGAGTGTTTTGGTGTTACTGGGGAGCCCCAAGATGAATGGCCCTTTTCAATAGCGATCGAAGTAACGGCCTTCAACACGTGTTCTGAACAATTTTTAGCGGCACATCTTCCATTCGGACGTTGCCTGTTCCCCATCCCTGAAGCTGCCGGGGTCTCATGCCCTCAATTTCCTCAGGCGCCAACGAAGGCTCCAACTCAAAGCGCGGGGGGATCGTTTTTGTTTTTGAGCCAAGGCGCGGACATCACTTGCCTGAAGATGCCGCAGCCTCGGGCAATCTGTGGGGCTGGGCTCTCAAGGGGCTGACCTCTCCAGAGATGCCTCGTCCGAAGGACTGCAGCCTCGTGTGCAATGCGCATGGGCCAAGTTGAAGATGTGGACCTGACAATCACACTTTTTCAGATGACTTAGTGTTGTGGTTTCCAGGCCAGATACATGTCATTTGAGGGCGATGCTTTTCTTTTGCAATTGGTTTCAAAGGGACATGGTCACAATCCATAGCTCTGCCTAATCTATGGTGAGCTCAAGGGGGGGGGAACGAGCTCACTATGATGTAGATCCTTCATTTCGGGATATCCCTTACTTCGGGTTCTCGAGTTTGCCTAGAAATTCCAGATAGCTGGTCAATGCTTTTCTGGAAGACAGACGGCTTTTGGGAGGGGGGGGACTTGAACATTGCAGGTTTACATATTTGGCGATCCCCTGGGCCTACGTCGCTTGGCCAGCATTCAGACTGACCGTTTTTCTCCCCGCTTTCCATTCGCAAGAGGGGAGTGGCCGCGCTTGGGGCATCGATCGTCTGCGCGTCCAGTGGAATTTCTGGTGCATGGCATGGATTCCGATGGGTCGGCCTGAGGAGCAGATGCGAGAGATCGAGAAGATGTTCCAATCTGAGTTCGACTACCTGGCAGAGTTCCGCATTCCCGGCTGGATTGAGGGCTCCCAGCAGCCTCGATTTGCTTTTGACGGACCTTGTGAAGCATGCAAAGTATGAACCCTGTATGTATCCATCCTGGTTGTGCTACGCTACTTGTTTGTATAAATGGATACTTCGTAAAACTTTCTTATTCCCAGATTGTTTATAGAAACGTCCCCAAAATTCAATGATTGAAGGCCGCGATCCTGGTGGTTTCTGAAAGGGGTCATGTAAAATGAGATATGTAGCTTTCTCAGAATAATACCCGAAGTTTCAGAAAATGGCCTCAAAAGGCCCAGCTCATTTTCCGAATGCTCAGTTTCTTGGGTTTGAGTTTGTTTCCTATTTAAAACCATTCCCCCAAAAAGGCCCCCCCCCCCCTGCCCCCCACCAAAAAAAAAAGCAAAAACAGAAAAAGAAGAGGAGAGTAACAACAACAAGAAAACCAAACATAACACAAACAACAAACACAAACACAAACACCAGCAGCCAGCAAATCCTTCTGCCGGAAAGCCCAGCAGTTCTCGGGGTTTCTCTACGCTTTCGAGGCAACCTGGAGGCGATGAGATCCAATCTGCTGCCCAGCTGGGGCCACAAGATCTACATCCCCAGGCGTGGCTTTTTGCATGCAACTCTTGCGCGAAGGGGGGGGGGGGGAAAACGGGGGAGGCGGGGCGGAGAACCGGGCGTGGGGTGGAAAGAACCTTTCGACTGCCAGGCTTTCACTGCAAGGCTGCAACTCGGGTGCCTGTGACGGGGCAAAGGCCGCTACCCGAATTCCTGGAGATGAATCTAGTACCAAGAATATAGACAAAGCAACGTGCTGGCATGCTTGCGGTTGAGCTGTGAGCTTGATTGGGGATCCACACCTGGGTTTCCAGGAAGGAACCGAAGGCCGGGGGCCGATCCGTGCGACTCTGAAACCTGGCAAGACCAACACGTCCGAATCTTCGGCTTGCCAAGATTCGGACGCCGGAAAGCCGCGCTCGAGATCGAGGGCTCCTTTGAAAGGAGTTGTTCGAGGGGTGCTCCATTGAAAGGCGCAGGATGTCTCAAGATATCTCCAGATCCCCCCTACTCATCCCTGCTTTTTTCAGGGTATTTTGGGAAAACCGGGTTTTCCATGGTACATACATCCTGTTTTAGTAGAGGGTCAACATGATACCCTGAACAAAGAGGGTATTTGGAGTAGGGGGTAAATCAACCTTGCGGATGACTTTTGGGGGAACCTCCTTTTTAGTAGGTGGCCCGGATCCGCTGCAAAATGGGTGGCACCCGTTTGTTGGATCCGAAAACGTTTCCCTCTACAAACGGGTTGCACGACTCCTTGGCCAATATCAGGCGAAGAAAAAGGAGGACCCACATCCTTGCAGAGCGGCTGGTTTTTCGGACGTCAAGGATTGTGAAAAAGGCGACAGGAATGAGCCCTGAATCCATGAGCACTTCCTCACGTCCTTATCCGTGAGATTTGGAAAAGCCACTTGGAAGGCCCATCCCGGAGCTGCAGGGGCGCAGGGTCATCGGCATGGAGCTGCTCAAAGGGGAGAAGTGCCCTGGCCTGGAACTTGGTCAGGCTGTGGTTGTCAAAACCAATAGGATCCCATTTTGGGGGTGTTCGGTGCACCACCCATTTTAGAACCTATTTTACTGGGGATTGGGATGTTCACTGGGGGGGCCACAAGTTCCCTTTCAAAGAACCATGTCTTCCAGGAATCGCCTGTGTGGTTCGGATGTTTGGTTGGATGGGTGGGCATGCCAGCCCGGGATGTCGGATCTTTGCTTTGTTGTTTCCAACCAGAGACCTTGTTCATTGCCTTTTTTGCCGGCAAGCACATTTTGTTGGCACGGACCAATTTGTCAATGTTTCTTTTGGCTGGCAAGGACCAATTTTCCAATGAATGGTTTTTGCTGGCAAGGGCCACTTTTTCGATGTGTTTTGCTGGCAAGGACCCATTCTTCAATTCTTTTTTCTTGCTGGCAAGGATCAATTGTTCAATGCTTTCCTGTTGGCAAGGACTAATTGGTCAAGGTCTTTCACCTGGCAAGGACCATTCTTTCATTGTTTTGCTGGCACGGACGAATTGTTTTCAATGTCTTTTGTTTGGCTGGCAGGGGCCAAACTTGCAATGCTTCTTTTCTTTTGCTGGCAAGGACCGAATTTTCAGAGTATTTTGTTTGGATGGAAAGGACCGATTTGTCAATGTTATTTTGCCTGCTGGCAAGGACCAATTTGTTAATGTTTTATTGTTTATGCTAGCAAGGACCAATTAATGTCATTGTTTCGTTTGCTGGCAAGGACTCAATTTTCCAAGGGCAGCGGAGACTCCAGGCAATCGGGATGCACCGCTTTGTTTTTTGAACGCATGGGCCCATCGCGACTGGCGAGGTTAGCGGGAGCATTTTTTTTGAACTGGGGCCTCTATATTTCTGCGATATTTCGACTTCCTGTGGCTTAAGGCGTCATCCTGAAGTGAGTTAACCTTGGCTTCCAGGTCGGATTCTTATTCCGAGAGATGGTGTGTCTGTCCGATTCGGTGTCTCCCCAAACGGCTTGGCTGCATGTTGGTTTTCATAAGGGCGTGCCAAGAGGCAGGGTGCGTCTATGCGAGCGGCGCCCCTCCTCCCTTCCCAGTTGCCAAAGAGTGAAGGCTTTTTGCGCGCTTCGTGGAGCGCACGCAGAACGTCCGTCTTGGGGAGGGCTCGTGGGGCGCTTTCTTTGCTTGGTCTTTGTGAGTGGTCTCCTTTCTTGAGGCCAGGAAAACGGTGGGAAAACGGCATGGCCTAGGTTCATTTCTGCAGTGCGGCGACGCTTGCAGCCGCTGGCCGAGCGTGAGGGGAAGAGTGTGGAAGAATACGAGAAGGCACTCCAAAGTTTCACCTCCGCCTTCCATTGGCTTGCGCGATGGGGCTCACAGGAAGTCCACAAGTCAGAAGGTATATTCTGGCCCTTACTAGTACCGTGTGGTCTCTTTGGGTTTGGAAGGCAGTGCCGTTCTTTGGCATGGCCGAGTGCCCAGGGTGCCCGCTCACTTCCTTGGGGCAGCTTCTTGACATCAGGGAGTGGTTTGAGATATTGGTACGCGCCCACCACGAGTGTCGCTTCTTCGATTTTTCGGCCTGCGAGAAGCGTCCGCTTTCTGGCTTCCTGACGTTGAGAGTTCACTTTGAGGTCACCAGTTGCTGCCTTCCTGGCTTGGTCGTTTGGCCCGAAATGAAAATCCAAAATTGGCGAATCCAGAAGAACCCTTCCTGGGTGGTGCAAGAACATTCAAAAGGAAACCCACCCACTTTGATTGGCCACTCAAAGGGCAGGGTTTGGGTGGGCTTGAGTAATTTTTAACCTGTATGTATTAGACTTGCTTGCGGTCAATTTAAAGATACCTCTGTATATATTTGTCTTTCTATATTCAAAGGAGGAGGAGCATAGGAGATTACCCTCAGATCAACATGAACCCCCCCAAACCCGGCATTTGTTCAGGCGCCTCCTGTTGGTGGGGTAAAAGCATGTTGCAGTTCCTTCTCTTAGCGAGGCAACTTTCGCAGATGTCGACGCCTCGGCTTTCGGCCGGGCTGCTGTCCGTCAGGAGCAGACGGAAGCACTCCGCAGTGGCAAGCGGAAAGCTGAGAGCGACGCTCGGGCAAATCACAGCAAGCCCGCGTGATTTCGCGGACGGATGGGACGGGATCGCAGTCGGTGTGTGCAATCATTGGGTTTGAGATTGGGTCCCATTTTCTGTGAAGCATTTGAGGGTTCATGGTTGGATGAGTCAACCAAATTGGTAGCGCAAGGGCGGCAAGTCCACACCCATCATTCAGTTTAGGGTCAAAGGCTCACCCTCGAGAAGCAAAGAAACTGGAAGCCGATTTCCAGATTTTCTGGGAGAACTTGGGGTATGTAACAATTTTCCCGAAGGAGACTTCTTTTTTGTTTTTTTGCGTGTGTTTGTTGTTTTTGCTCTAGGGGGTATGTAGCTATGTTGTGTTTTTTTGTGTGTGTGTGTGTGTATGTGCTTTTCTTCTTGTCCCTGGTGAGAAGGCGACCAGGTCATGGTGTTGTCATCCCCTTTTCCATCCATCGGTTGGCTGGTGGAAGCCTTCTAAGGTGGCGAAAAGAGGACGGTCAACACTGGGCTTTAAATAGGTTTCTTGTTTGCCTTTGTTTGAGCACTTGGTTGCCTTGAACTCATTTAGGATTTGGGGTGGGTGCCTTTTGAATTTCTCCATGTCATGAATTACTCCCCTGCAGATACCACAGCTCCATCATTTCAGAGGAATCTTCTTAGGGATCCCCTTCTTGTCTTACTTCAATTACCTTAGAGGGGAGGGGGGGTTGCGAGACAAGAGGAAACCACGCGAAAGAGGGTTCCCAACTTGGATCTTGACGCATACGCGAAACATGGCACCCGAATCTCGGCGAGGCAGCGTGGCTCCACTGGAAGGTTACCTTGTGGCGCTGGTGGCGCTGGGTGTTGCGCCGGAAAGACCCTGAGCCTGTGGACGCGCCGTGGAAACGAAGTAGACAGGTGGGCAGGGCATATTCTATGGCGAGCTGGGGTGAAACGAGCTCTCCTTGTAGTCTATTTTTTTGGTTTAGGGATCAAGTATTTCAGTAGAGCTTGCAGATGGGATCTCTGCTTCATTTTGCTGGCAACACGATTGGTTCTTTTTTGGGTCGTGGTGGTACCTCGGCTTCAGGTTTCTTGGGTCAGCGAACCCAAGAACCTGAAACCCAAAGCATATTCTTGCAATAAGGCAGGTCTCATGGGCTTTGATCGCGTCTTTTTTGGCGCAGGTTGCTAAACTCCGAAAGCTGGGGTCGTTTTGTCTTTGCTACCGACATGTCCGTTTCCCTGTGATTTGAACGTCGCCACTATGCTGCCAGCTTGAACTTATTGTGGCTTCAGTTCTCTCAAAAATCCTGTATTACAATGTTCCATGGCTGGAGTCACATAGGCCTGTAGGCAGTTTGGTTGCCCGTTTCGCAGCGCTGAATGCAGCAATGTCCACACCGTTGATATTTAGTGTGTTGCTTTCTTGCAGGTACGCGTTTGCCAAGTTGATTTCTTTCTTTGACGGTGAGTAGCCCTCAGTTTGTAGCTACTTCGAAAGCTTCAAAAAGGAAAGCAACATGAGGAGTCTTTTGCAAGAGACAAGGTGAAGCCTGGCCCCGTCCTCTGGTTGGCCCCCTTGCGCCCAATCAGGACCTCATGGGACACCTGCTCTAGTAGGGTGTCCCCCAAACGCAACCCTCTAAACCGACGATGTTCATTGGTCCATGGTACCAGGACATGTGGCCTTCAGGTGTTTCTCATACGACGGACTCCCTTTTGGTTGGCACTGAAAAAGGAAACCGAAGAAATCGACCCATTACCCCCCTTGCCCCAAGGTGGGCGGCATTTTTGATCTCCTCATGTCCATCCACGGCCAGCAAGTGCTGCAAGAGCTTTGGCCACGAAGCGGACAGAAGAAACGCATCTTGCGAGCCGCGGGGTGCAAGACTTGCATTCCGCCATGATGTGCTCTTCTCCAAAGTTTGGAAGTTGTCTATTTGGAATAGGGCAAGCAGTAGGAGGGTGCTTCTTTTTTTGGCCTTGGCCGACTTGGATATTTCAAGTCACGGTTTGGTCACTTTCTAGGAAGATCGCTTTACACAAAACATCCAGCCAGTTTGTGACCAATTCACTAGACACGTTCGCAAGCTTGCATCCCCGGCGGTGAAGAAATCCCGAAACTGGATTTGGAGTTCTTCATGGAAGCGATGCCTTCGCATTCGTATGCCTGCCCGCATTCAAGCTTTGTGCGACTGCCTTGCGAATAAACCTGGCAGACAAGTAGCCCGTTTGCTTTCAACATATTCCTGGGGTGCCGAGCCTCAGAAACAAGCAATGGCTTCCTGCGAAGGATGGGTGCTTCAATGCAGACCCTCATCCGGGCAACATCTTGCTGTTGGAGGACGGGAAGACGTTGGGCCTCATCGACTTTGGCCAGGTCGCCTACATTTCCCAGGCCAGGGTCTGGGATCATTTTTTCCGCCCCCTTTGCCACCCATTCCCTCTGGGCAGGGGGGTTGTAGATCCTCTTGAATAGGTCCAGCAGCGCGTCCACTTCCATGATTGTTGGAGACCGGGCGCCAACCTTCCACCCGTCTATCAATCTTCCACAGCCTCGTACCAGCTATTGACCACATGTTTACACCAATAAAACCGATCTGATTCTTACCTTACCACCTTTCCCATATGTGTTCGTTTTTTTGTGGGGAACCCCTTTTTAACAAGGAACGCCAATGGGAACCCTTTCACGGTTTTGGGGTGCCCCTATTTTGAGACACCGCCATATGACTTGTGCCATCTATTCGTTTCAGTGAAATGAGTTTTGGTGGTTTTGAATTAGTGGTTTGGTGACTACGGAGTGGTTTCGCATTTACCTTCTACAATAACCAGGGGCTCAAACCCCCAAGCCACCAATGCCAAGCACCAATTGATATCGCCCTTTTTCGTACCCGCTCCAAGCATCAGGAGAAGCTTAAAGGAAGCAACGTACTGGGTGTCTAGGTAGCCACCTGAAAAATGGACCTGCCGGGGTTCGAGGACTTCCGCCTGAGATTGGCGCGGCTGATGCTGGCGTTGGCGAATCGCGACAAGGCGCTGGTGGCGCGGTATGAGAGCCACTTGCCTACCGCCATGGTTTTTGTGGGTGGGTGGGTGTGGGTGGGTGGGTGTGGGTGGGTTTTTGGATTGTTGTTTTCGGGAGAGCCGCGCGGTTTCATGTTGACCCTGTTTGGACAGCAGTTTGCATTTTGAGGTTCGCTCGGCCAGAAGCTAGTGATGTCATTTTTAGGAGCCGCTGCAAATCGGGCTTCCATGGTGGGAGGGCAAGGTCCAATGTGGGCTCCTTGACGCCTAATGGCCATCAAGAACGAGAATAACATTCAACTCCCCAATGGATGTCCAATCAGCGGAGCTGGTGGACGTGTGGCCGTCGGGGTTTCAGATTTCATCTCGCAAGTTTGCCTCGCCTTAACCTTGAGTGACGGTGTTCGGGAATCAGCGGTTTGAAAGGACCATGCCTGGTTGATCTCTTGCAAACAAAGGTTTAGCCTGGAATCCAATTGATGAATTGGTGGGGGGGGGGTGTCCTATTTTCGATGCGATCCTTCACTTTTTTTTGGGGGGGGGGGGTGGCGGGGAACAGCCCCATTTTCATTTGGCATTCGGGGTCAACATGGGTTGAATGCTCAAGGCTTCCTGCGAAGGCATTGGCGGCGGCTGGGGTCAAGACAATTGCAGCCAGGCAGCCCCCCCCATTTAGCGACAAGCCATATCAAGAGGCGAGCAATCTCAATCAGGCCCTCGCCTCCAACGCGCCGGGCAGCACTGGCATGTGGCTACTTTGTCGCAGAAAGCTGATCCTCTGCACCTCTTTGAGACCAAACCACACGCACGAGACTTTGGTGCATATGGCTTGGATGTTAGGACTTTAACTTTTTGCCAACTAGTGGGTTTTCCATTGAACCACTAAAAGTTAAACTTTCAGCAGGGGAGCAGAAAGCAACCAAATAGAGTGACATGGCCACAAGCACAGCAAAGGGGCGGCCACAAATCAGTGGCAACGGCCCGCGCACTCCAAACCGCGCCGCGGGCAAAGATTCGCTAGATCCGCATGGCGCCATGCGCTTGGCGCTGCTCTTCCTGCGCGGTGCGGCGGGGGGGCCCTGGTCCTATACGCTGGTGCACCCGCCGAAGCAGCTGGCCTTCTGCTACGTGAGCACTTCTGGCGGCAGATGGAAAGGAGATAACCTGAAATCAGGTTGCATCTTTAGGCCCTTTGAGGTCGGGGCAAGTGAGCCACCAGCCTATCCCGACCCCACTGCACGGTGCACAGCAGCAAAGAAACCCTTCCCCATGCGCATTGCCTTTGTGGGCTTGGGGACGGCCAACACAATATTTGGAAGCGGCCCGCGGCTCCCACTTGAGTGTGAGGCTTCCCTTTTGGATTCCTGGTCAAGGTAAGCCAATGGGACCGGCATTTCGGGGCCCATGTGTGATGCAGCACGTAGGTGTTTTCGGTCAAGGCAAAGTGGCGAGCCAGCGGATGGTTCACTTCTTCAACCTGCTGAACCGCGTGCAGGTGCCGGAGACCTTGACGCTCTGGAATGAGCACATCTCCCCGGAGGAGCTCATCTTTTGGCAAGGCTCCACGCCGAGCCTTCGGCTTAAGCGCGACCGCCCCGCCAAAAGCCCCTAGCCGACGCAAAACACATGAAACGCACGCTTCTTGGGATTTGGAGGGTGGTCTTATTGGCATGGCTTTTGCGGCAACTTGAAGGCTTCCGTTCCGGGCAGCCGTTTCCCCTGCGTTGGTTTCCCAAGAAGTTCGTCTTCCAGACGCGCCCACCTGCAGGCTTCATGAGGAGAGGGGAAAAGGTGCTGCCGCCCCAAACACGGCCGATTGATCACGTGGGGTGGAGCCCAGTGCGGCAATGTCCCAGGGGCATAGAAAGCTTAGAACCCTAATGTTAACCCCGGATTAATAAACCCCTGGTTGATTAATAGGGGTGTCCCCTTTTAGTAAGGATTTATCGCTTTTGGCGGGAACACCTCCCAAACAATGGGACGGGTTTATTTACACGCTGACGCGACACAGCCGGCCACCGGGCACCTTGCCCTGCTCGTTCTGTCACTTCCCTTTCCTGTAAGTCCGATTAGTAGATGTTAAGATTTTCAGATTCTAAAAACTTTGAGATTCTAAGGGTCTCAGATTTGAAGACTGTCGGAATTTGAGGTTTCAATGGTTTTTGAATTACGGTTTTAAGATTCAAAGATTTAAAGTTTTTGAAGGTTATAACAGCCAGGCCATTGCCCAGCCATTTTCCATCCATTATCAGATTTCGAAGGCTTTAAGATTTTATTTTTTGTGAGATTTTCAGATTTGGCGACTTTCGGAATTTAAGATTTTAAGATCTCAAGATTTCAAGGCTTCAAAATTTCAAGATTAAGAGTTTAAGGAATTTAAAATATAGCCCGGATTGAAGGAATTTTATTATATTTTACTTGTTTATGAATTTAAGATTTTCAGATTGCAATAGTTCGAGATTTAAAGAATTTAAGTTTTGAAGCTTTTAAGATTCTGAGATTTTAAGACTTTGAGAATTTAGGAAGTTCATATTTTTAGATTTTAACATCTGAAGATTCAAAGATATTCGGGTTTTAAGAAGTCAAGATTCGAAGACTTTAGGATGTTTATATTTTCAGATTGTAAGATTCGATCTTCTAAGGTTGTAAGTTTAAGATCTTGAGGTTTCAAGATTTCCAAATTTCAAGAGTAAGAGTTTAAGACTGTAGGAATTTCATATTTTAAGAGTTTAAGATCGCAAGATTCTAAGACATAAGGGTTTTAAGATTTCAAGATTCGAAGACTTTAGGATGTTTTTATATTTTCAGATTTTAAGATTCTAAGTTCGAAGATTTTAAGATCTCGAGATTCTAAGATTGATTGTTAGATTTTAATTTAAGATTTTAAGAATCTAAGACTTTAGGATTTTGAGATTTCAATCCAGGCCATTTTCCATCCATTTTCCATCCACTTTAAGATTTTAAGATTTTCAGGTTGCACGTTTTCGGCAAAGTTGGCCCGACTTAGGGGACAACATCCCCAGCATCCCCCGAGACTTTAGGATGTTTTTATATTTTCAGATTTTAAGCTTTAGGATTTTGAGATTTCAATCCAGGCCATTTTCCATCCATTTTCCATCCACTTTAAGATTTTAAGATTTTCAGGTTGCACGTTTTCGGCAAAGTTGGCCCGACTTAGGGGACAACATCCCCAGCATCCCCCGAGACTTTAGGATGTTTTTATATTTTCAGATTTTAAGATTCTAAGTTCAAAGATTTTAAGATCTCGAGATTCTAAGATTGATTGTTAGATTTTAATTTAAGATTTTAAGAATCTAAGACTTAGGATTTTGAGATTTCAATCCAGGCCATTTTCCATCCATTTTCCATCCACTTTAAGATTTTAAGATTTTCAGGTTGCACGTTTTCGGCAAAGTTGGCCCGACTTCGGGGACAACATCCCCAGCATCCCCCGCATCACCGGCATCATCCGCATCAATGTCCGCCAAGGATGCGGATGATGCAGGTGATGCCGGGGATGTTGTCCACTATGGGCACCCCCCAAAAAACACTCGTTTTTTGACTCCGCGGGGAGATGCTCAAAAAGCCGCCAAAAATCGCCTGAACAAATCCGCAAATCCTTCGCCCCTTATAAGGGTGGGCCCAGCTTGGCGCAGCGCAAAAGTTCGGCACATGGTCGGCGGTGGGTCGGCGGCATGGGGCGGACGGCCTTATACCTGAAGGTAGGCCCTGCGGGCCTAGGCCTTCGGCGATGTCACGGACCACGGGGTCAGGGCCCCCGGTGGCCGGATTTACACGCTGACGCGACACGGCCGGCCACCCAACAAACCCCTTCCCGTTCTGGCATTGCCTTTCCCTCCAAGTCCTGCAGGTTCTCGGGATGATTTGAACTTTACTTCCTTTGCATGTCTTCCCTGACAGTTTCCTGGCATGTCCCTTCGCTTCCTTCCACTTCACTGCCGTTTCAGCTCCCTTCATTAGCTTGAAGACTCCTTTATTCGCATTCCTTTCCCTTTTCGTTCCCTCTGCCCTTGCATTTTCCTGCATCTCGGTTTCTCTCCAGTGCCCTCTTGATTTTCCTGCAATTCCTTTGACTTTCATTTCGTTCACTTTCAGTCACTCCTGTTTCCTTGTATTTCCCCTTCAGCCCCTTGTTTCGCATCGCCAGCATGCATAGCATCATCCGCATCATCCGGGATGATGCTGGCAATGCTGGGGGTGTTGTCCAGACCCCCTAAAAATACTCGTTTTTCGGCGCTGCGGGGAGATGCTGCAAAAATCCTCGGAAATCGCCTAAACCAATCCGCGAATCCTTCGCCCCTTATACGGGCAGGCCCAGCACAAAACGTATGCGCATGGTCCGCGCATGGTCGGCGGCATGGGGCGCGCGGCCTTATACCTGAAGGTAAGCCCTGCGGGCTTTGGCCTGCGGCCCGCTCACGTCCGGTGGCCGGATTTACACGCTGACGCGACACAGCCGGCCACCGGGCACCTTGCCCTGCCCGTTCTGTCACTCCCTTTCCTGTAAGTCCGATGAGTAGATGTTAAGATTTTTCTAAAAACTTTGAGATTCTAAGTCTCAGATTTGAAGACTTTCGGAATTTAAGGTTGTCAATGGTTTAAGCATTAAGGTTTTAAGATTCAAAGATTTAAGGTTTTTGAAGGTTATAACAGCCAGGCCATTGCCCAGCCATTTTCCATCCATTATCAGATTTCGAAGGCTTTAAGATTTTATTTTTTGTGAGATTTTCAGATTTGGCGACTTTCGGAATTAAGATTTTTAATCTTAAGAGATCAAAGACTTCAAAATTTGAAGATTAAGAGTTGAAGGAAATATATATAGCCCGTATTGAAATTTTATTTTATTTTACTTGTTTATGAATTATAAGATTTTCAGACTGCAATAGTTCGAGATTTAAAGAATTTAAGTTTTTGAAGCTTTTAAGATTCTGAGATTTTAAGATTTTGAGAATTTAGGAATTTCATATTTTAAGATTTTAACATCTGAAGATTCAAAGACATGAGGGTTTTAAGAAGTCAAGATTCGAAGACTTTAGGATGTTTATATTTTCAGGTTGTAAGATTCTAACTTCTAAGGTTGTAATTTTAAGATCTTATTTAAGGTTTCAAGATTTTAAAATTTCAAGATTAAGAGTTTAAGGAATTTAAAATATAGCCCGGATTGAAGGAATGTAATATTTTAATAATTTCAGATTTTCAGATTTCAATTGTTCGAGGTTTAAAGAATTTAAGTTTTTAAAGCTTTTTAAGATTCTGAGATTTTAAGATTGTAAGACTTTAGGAATTTCACATTTTAAGAGTTTAGGATCTCAAGATTCTATCACATAAGGTTTTTAAGATTTCAAGATTCGAAGACTAGGATGTTTTTATATTTTCAGATTTTAAGATTTTAAGTTCTAAGATTTTAAGATCTTGAGATTGATTGTTAGATCTTAACTTAAAATTTTAAGAATCTAAGACTAGGATTTTGAGATTTCAATCCAGGCCAACATCACCAGCATCCCCCGCATCGCCAGCATGCATAACATCACCTGCATCATCCGGGATGATGCTGGCAATGCTGGGGGTGTTGTCCAGTATTAGGCACCCCCTAAAAATACTCGTTTTTGGACTCGTTTTTTGGGCGCTGCGGGGAGATGCTACAAAAACAATCCGCGAATCCTTCGCCCCTTATAAGGGCTGGCCCAGCGCAAAAGTTCTGCTCATGTTCTGCGCATGTTCTGCGCATGGTCGGCGGCATGGGGCGCGCGGCCTTATACCTGAAGGTAAGCCCTGTGGGCTTAGGCCTGCGGCCCGATCACGTCCGGTGGCCGGAATTTCAAGATTAAGAGTTTAAGGAGTTTAAAATATAGCCCGGATTGAAGGAATTTTATTAAATTTTACTTGTTTATGAATTTAAGATTTTCAGATGATTCAAAGACATGAGGGTTTTAAGAAGTCAAGATTCGAAGACTTTAGGATGTTTATATTTTCAGGCTGTAAGATTCTAACTTCTAAGGTTGTAATTTTAAGATCTTAATTAAGGGTTCAAGATTTCAATATTTGAAGATTAAGAGTTTAAGGAATTTAAAATATAGCCCGGATTGAAGGAATGTAATATTTTAATAATTTCAGATTTTCAGATTTCAATTGTTCGAGGTTTAAAGAATTTAAGTTTTCAAAGCTTTTTAAGATTCTGAGATTTTAAGATTGTAAGACTTTAACATTTTCAGAGTTTAGGATCTCAAGATTCTATCACATAAGGTGTTTAAGATTTCAAGATTCGAAGACTTTAGGATGTTTTTATATTTTCAGATTTTAAGATTCTAAGTTCTAAGATTTTAAGATCTTGAGATTGATTGTTAGATCTTAACTTAAAATTTTAAGAATCTAAGACTAGGATTTTGAGATTTCAATCCAGGCCAACATCACCAGCATCCCCCGCATCGCCAGCATGCATAACATCACCTGCATCATCCGGGATGATGCTGGCAATGCTGGGGGTGTTGTCCAGTATTAGGCACCCCCTAAAAATACTCGTTTTTGGGCGCTGCGGGGAGATGCTACAA